TTTGAGATTCTAGCAAATTAGCACCATTGTATAATTTGACAGCCTTCTTCATACATATTATTCTTGAGAGCGAAGGAGTTTGGAGGTTCATTTTGATGAAATCTGTATGCCGATTTTCTTTGGACTTCGTTTTGTTCCTTTATAAAATGTAGGGTTAATTACAAATTGCCCATTCAACTTAGGTGCTATTGTAATTAACTCATAGTTTCAATTTTGAAAAATTGGCCCCTCAAAGTTTCAAATGGACTAAAATGACTAACAACCATACCCTCAACCTTCAATATTATTGTGCAAATTATCTTTGAAAATGCCTAATATACCTTAACAAATTAAAATTATAAATAAAAAAATTGTATCCTCAAAGCAAAAAAAATACAAAACCACCCAACACCACCCAAAATTAGCCATCAACATCACCTACTATAGCTTAAACAAACCACCACCATACACCACCCCTCAGCACCTTCACTTACACTAGCAATCCCAAACCTAGCACAAAAACATCTCCATCTTCACTGTCACCTCAACAATCACACAACAAACACAACCCAACACACACACATACAACCCAACCCAACACCACTTCCACCTGCAACCACCCAAACCAACACACCCAAGCCACATTCTGTGTGTGTTTCTATATATATCAACTTATCACTTGCCTTGAACTCTAATCGGTTCAATCCTGATGCAAAGGGAAAAGAATCTAAAGGGAGAGAATCAAAGTAGAAGGAGAAGAACTGAATAGAGGGTGACAAAAATGGGTGTATTTGGTTGTGGCTGATGTTGGAGAGACGAGAGGGTTTGTTCATAGAGGGTCATTGGGGTGGAGGGTTGGTTATTGGTCCAAAATGTTTATGTCGAGGGTTTCACAGAGATGATTTCACTATTTAAATACATAGATAGATAGAGGGGGAGAGATCTATGAACAAGGGGTTTCACTGGGGATGTTTATCATGAGAGAGAGTCTCGGGTTTCATTTTCGCTGGAGAGAGGAGGATGAGGAATTAGGGTTGGGCAGTGGGGAAGGGGAGGAAGACAAGGAGATGGGGAAAAACATGAGAAGGGCTACTTTTGTCTTTTCTGCAACTTGGTGATTGCATATATGTCATGTGGCTAATATCCAGCACTTTTTACAGCTGAAATTGACTGAGAAATCTAATTGCAAAATTTTCAAGATGAATAGGGCAATTTGTCGAAATTGAACCCTAAGGGAGTTAATTGTATTGTCGAAATTGAATTCTAAGGGAGTTAATTGTAACAACACCCAAAGTTAAAGGGGGTAAATTGTAATTAACCCTAAAATGTAATGTCTTGTTTATTATCTCTGTACTAGTGACTGTTTCCGTAGATATTTTATCAATGCATGTAGAAATTTAGGGATAAGTGTTGGTTAGTTTTGGCTTCCACAACTTTCTATCGATCCTTTTGTTGTTTAGTGTCCTGCCTGGATAGGGTGTTTAACCTCTTTCCTCTGCACCACGAGTCTCGGGTTATGTTGTGCTCTGTATATCTTTTTTTTTTCTTTCTTCTTGTCCATTATTTCCTTTTTTATGTGTCTTATTCATTTGTGCTTTCCTTTCTTTCGTTTCTCTCTTCTTTTTATTTTTATTAGAAACATTTTTCCTTGGTGCTCGGCTACCCAAAGTTGGTGCACCACCAGATGGCATCTAGTCTCGGGTTATGTTGTGCTCAGTATATCTTTTTTTTTTCTTTCTTCTTGTCCATTATTTCCTTTTTTATGTGTCTTATTTATTTGTGCTTTCCTTTCTTTCGTTTCTCTCTTCTTTTTTATTTTTATTAGCAACATTTTTCCTTGGTGCTCGGCTACCCAAAGTGGGTGCACCACCAGATGGCATCTACCCTAATTGCAAAGCATCAATGATGTTAGTGAAAGACCTGGTTTCAAGTCCCCCATAAAGATTTGAATATGTCTTGCACATTGGGAAAATGGTTGATCCTTCTGGTTTTGCTGCTATTTGATATTTGGAGCCTTCTTGACATGACATAGCACAATGCTATTTTCATTGTATGACTTTGTTGGCATTTGTTGACATGTGCAAAGCACACACTATGTGCTGGGGTAAAAATTGTTCATGATTTGCTCTCAAGAGAAATCATTGTTTAGATAACTTTGATTGTGAGAAGCTACTTTGTATTAGGAGATAATTCCCTCCATTGCAAAAATGGTATACCCATATATGTCATGTGCTTGTTCTTCCTCATTGTTCTGCTTGTATGCATTCAGAAGCCATCTTCTAGTATGGATCTTTAAGCAATTGATGTCTAACTTCACTTGTTTGCTTTCACGTAGGGTGGATTGTAATGGATGATGAACAATTCCAGTTTCTATCTGGAATCATGATTCATCCTTTGGCAGGCAAAGTCAAGGAACTACCTTATACGCCAATGTCTGCAACAAGTGACAGACTGCAGATGGATGAGGACAGTGCAATTGTTGAATCAAAAATCAGTCAAATAAAAGACATTTTCCCTGATCATGGAAAAGGTTTCTTGACTGCTTGTCTTGAAATTTATAACCAGAATCCAGAAGAGGTGATACAAAGGATCCTTGAGGGAACCCTCCATGAAGATCTACAGACCTTGGACACTTCATTGGAGAAGATTCCACCGCCCAAGACTGCTTCATCTTTGAGTAGGTATGATAAGGGGAAAGGGAAATTAATGGAGCCTACAACGGTGCCCTCTACAATAATGGTTCCTTTAGCAGGAGAGGAACAAGCTGAAGGACCTTCATTTTCATCCTCATCTTCAGCTGGGAGATATGTCAGGAAGGCTTCGACCGACATGCCTGATTCTGAGACTCTTGATTGTAGAGATGAAAAGAATTTGGCAAAGACTGCTTTTCTTATTTCTCAACTCGAGTATGAAGATGAGTATGACGACTCTTTTGATGATTTAGGACTTAGTGTTGGTGATTCAGGACTGGAGGAAACTGAGTCACTGGGGGAGAAGCTAAACTTGAATAGGGAGAGATCACGTGAGACATATACAGGAAGCCCAGCTCCTAATGCTTCTAATTCAAAATGGAACTCACGTAAAACACCCCAATTCTATGTCAAGGATGGCAAGAACTACAGTTACAAAGTTGAGGGCTCAGTCGCTGTGGCAAATTATAATGAAGCATCATTAGTGAATGAAGCCCAGAAAGAACTGATCCATGGCCTTGGGCGTGGTGGTAATCTGCCTTTAGGTGCAATTAAAAGGCTGACCGAGACAAATGAGGAACAGGACGAGGAGGCTGATGTTAATGAGATGGGAGGGCGAGGTAATCCAGGAGCTACAAGGGGTAGAGGAAGAAGGGGTGGGGCAAGCAATCATCACAGGAAAGATCGAGCCTTGAGGAAGCAAATTTCTGGGTTCAGTGGTCGTTAACTATACAGAGGGAAAAGGATACTCATCTTTCTGCTTTTATATGATCAAGAAACATGGGCTTCTTGGAATGCACCTTGACCCTTTCTCTGTATGGCTGTGAACAATTTTTGTCAGAGGGTAAGGCTGTGGCTCTCGTGAAAGATATTTAAATATTGGTGGATCAAATGTTTTGCCGTATTTAATTATTACAGGTAAATACAAAGAAGCTTTTTAAGAGTGATAAATTAGACTGTTACTTGATATCCTTGCTCATTCAGGTGTTAAGACTCTTTTGACTTTTAGATAACAAGTTTTACCTACTCCAGAAATCTGCTAGGCACTGATTGTTTAAGGATGCTGCTGGCTGGTGGCTGCTGGCTGGTGGCTGCTGGCTGCAGTGACCCGAAAGATCACCACCTCTCCACCTCTGATCCATCACCAGATAACTACCCCCAACACGCACATATTTTGAAACAAAGAAGCACGACCACACAAAACACAAATTGTCCCTTGCCGCCATATAACCTCCATTGCCCCTTTGTCATTGTCAATTTCAGATTGATATCACTCGTCTCAAAACCCACTACATGTCTTCAAACATGAGACGCCTTTGGACAATCTCCATTCTGAATCAGTAGCAGCGTCACCAATGCAATGGTGATGGTGGAAACTAGGGATGAATGGAATCTTGTGTCTGTGTTTTGGGTTTTGTTGGTGGAGAGAGAGAGAGAGAGAGTTGGGTGGGTGGGTGTATGTTGGGGAGTGTTCTCTAGGAAAAGGGTTTTGAGGGGATTTGGTGGCCGAAAAGGAAGGAGGGGGAAGGAATGTGTCAAGGAATTGGGTTAATATTTTGGAAAATTTGAAGGTCAGTTCTTTTTTTTTTTTTTTTTTTAATAAAAGAGAAATTTATTGATTTAACCAAAAGGTTTTACAAGAAGTAAAAAGAATAAGCCACATGTTGGCTCTGATCCTTCAAGACAACAAAACTACTTTATATTTGTAAATCAAGAAAAATACAATCTCTCAAAACCCAAGTAAACCAGCAAGCATGGCAGCGCCTTATATCTTTCCATATCTCACCATAAAAAATACAGTCCAGCAGTACACTCAACACAGTAGAAGCTGACCAGAAAAACACACAGCACAGCTGCCTACCTCCTCCTAATGACTCATCAGCACAGTCAGCACAACAGCTGATTTTAGAAAAAATTAACCACCATCATCAGAAACCAAACCAGTCTTGAACATCACAGTTTTCTTTCTCAGAGTAGGCAATGATCTCTGATCTTGGAAGAGCACCATTCTCCCAGCCACAGGCAGAAAATTCAACACAACTTGCTATCTGGACAGCATAAGATGCTAAGAAATCTGCAAGAGTATTAGCCTCTTTATATACATGACAAATTATGGCATTCAGCTTATTGAAACAATCCCAAATCTGATCTAAAATGTACTGACACCTCCAAGGTACAGCAACCTTCCCCAAAACCATCTGCACTAAGATCTGAGAGTGAGATTCAATGTAAATCTGATACCTCTCCCAATTATATCTAAAAATCAGTTTCAACCCCTCCAGTAATGCCATGCATTCAGCTTGCATATTAGTGCCTCTATCATAAAATGAAGAAGCAGTTATCAGCACATGACCTTTCGAATCTCTAATAACCATTCCACCCCCAGAAAGTCCAGATGAACATTTAGCTGTGCCATCCACATTCAATTTCAGTGCACCAGCAGGAGGGGGATCCTACTTAATCCACATGGCCTTAGTCATCACAACATAAGCTGAACTGATCCTTAAATCAACTAACAATTCTTTCCCTTTACAGTCATCTGCCCTCTGAGGTTTTATAACAAAAGCCTGCATTCGAAGGGCATTCACAACCTACAAATACACCCCATATGAATTCAAATTCCCCTCCTCAAACATCCTCATGCACCTTTCTCTCCGTACAACTCAGAATAACAACAGCGGAACCCCTCTAATTAAACCATGACTCAGGGAATGAAAGTTAAAAATTCTGCAAATTCTCAAAAACCTGACTATGGGGGGTGACTCTCCCTGTATTAAAGGAAACCCCATCATACCAGCAAACTTGCTCCATATGGCCTTTGTAATATTACGCTCAATGAACAAATGAGAACCGGATTCCTCTTTTTCACAGCAGAGAATACATTTGCTTACTAAGGCAATTCCAATACTACAAACCCTCAACTCTGTGGGCAAAGCATCTTTGAGAATTTTCCAACCACATAATTTTGCACTTGGAGAAACCTCTTGCCTCCAAATATATTTAGCAGCCACACACTGAATCCCCTGCTGCCTAACCTGAGACCAAGCAGATTTTACAGAAAATAAGCCAGAACTACTATTCCTCCATATCCTTCTATCAGCTTTCTCAGTAAACAACTCACCAGACGACAAAATTTCAGAACTCAGCTGATCCCCAGGCGAGCAACCTCCTCCAACTGCCAATGATCATTTTCCCACATCTCAGCAACCTTAGGAAACACAGTAGGCAAGGCCACAGCTCTATTCAATAAGGGACCTGATTCTAACCAGGAATCACACCAAAAATCAGTATTCCTACCATCTCCAATGCATACTAAGTAATTGTCCACCACATAATCAAACCAGGGTTTTAAAATCTTAAAGGATCTTGCACCCCTAGACTGCCCACATCTAAGCATGTGTTTGCCCCTTAAAAATTTACAGCTGAACACTTTTGCCCACGATGAAGTACCATTTAAGATGTTCCAGACCTGCTTGATTCTAAAAGCTGCCTGAATTTCCTCAAAGCTTCTAATACCCAAACCACCCTCCTTCTTTGGCTTAGACAACCTTTCCAAAGAAACCCAATGCCTCCTTTTAGAATCTAACTAACTCAACATATAAACTCAACTATCATAGAATTTAATCTCTTCAAAACACCTTTTGGGATTTTCATGCAAGCCAGCATATGTATAGGAATGGTATTAAGAACAGATTGTACCAAAACAAGCCTACCCATACCTGACAAAAGCTTGGCATACCAACCTTCAATCCTCCTTCTGAAGCCATTAACCACCTCTTCAAAGAAACAGTTCCTAGACCTTCCCCTAATAATAGGGCAGCCCTGATAAGTAAAGGGGCATGATTTCAAGAGAATGCCCACCATCGAAGACAATAAAACCTTTCTGGTAGTAGGAATTCTTGCAGAACAAAATAAGGCACTCTTCGATTTATTTACCTTTTGGCCAGAGCATTCTTCATATAAACCAATAAAATTCATCAAATTAGTAGCAGATTTCTTAGTTCCCCTTAAAAAAATTAGAGTGTCATCAGCAAATAAAAGATGACTCAGAAGAAAAGAACCTCTTCCTATGTGAAAATGAGTCACCAACTTTTGCTGATAAAGCTTCCTCAACCCCTTACTCAATGCCTCTTCAGCAAGAATGAACAAAGAAGGAGACAAGGGATCTCCTTGTCTAAGACCCCTTGAATTAGCAAAATACCCAAATCTTTTCCCATTCAAACATATAGTGAAGAATTGAGTTTTCAGACAACTAGAAATGATTCTAACAAACAAATCTGAAAAACCAAATTTCATCAAAACCTTCAGGAAAAAGTCCCATTTTATCCTGTCATACGCCTTCATCATGTCCAATTTCACAACCATATTCCCCCCCTCCATCTTCCTATCCAACTCCTAAACCATTAACTGTCCCAAGGAAACACAGTCACCAATACACCTTCTTTTTACAAAACCATGGTGCTCCTCAAAGATCAGCATAGGCAAAAAAGAGGAGAGTCTAGTAGTGACCAGCTTTGTAAAAATCTTGTAAACAAAATTGCAAAGACTAGTAGGCCTACAATCACCAAAGTTGACAGGATAGTCTTTCCTTGGGATCAAAACCAACAAAGTAGAATTTACTGACCTGGGAATTATTCCACCTTTCAAAACAAAATTTACAGCTAGCAAAACATCCTGTTTAATCACATCCCAAGATTTCTGAAAAAACTTACCAGAGAGACCTCTGGGCCTGGAGCACTTTCCACTGCCATAGAGAATACTACCTCCTTAATCTCTTCCATAGAAGCCTCAACCACCAACAAGTCATTCTCATGCACACCCACTAGAATAGGAATCTCAGAAAATATCTCCTCCTGAATTTGATGAGACTCGTAAAGATTTGCATAGAAACTTTCAGCAACATCAGCAATCTCTTTCTCCTCATGCACCCATACACCCTCTTCATTTTGAATCCTTTTCACTTTATTTCTTACCACTTTATTCTTGTCTAGAGCATGATAAAACCCAGTATTCCTTTCCCCCTCCATAGCCCACTTGGCATTTGCCTTTTGTTTCCGGTATATCTCCTCCGATCTAAACATATTATCCAAACCTTTTTTACATGTTCCCACCAATACAGACCCCTCAAGACTATAATTCTGATCCAACTCTTTTTCTGCCAATTGAATTTTAAGCTCCTGTTTCCTTATGTTATCAAACACATTCCCAAACACCTCCTTATTCCATAGCTTCATATGAGCCTTCAATTATTTCAATTTAATGAACAAATTAGAGATAGGATTTTCAGCATAATGTCTACTCCAATGGGAAGCAATCAAAGGCAAAAACTCCTCATGTTCACACCACATATCCTGAAACCTAAAATAGGAAATCCTCTTCTGTGCTGGGGTATCCATGATTCTAATCAGCAAAGGATTATGATCAGAAGTACCCCTGGCCATTTGCACTACCTCCATACTGTCAAATCTTAATTTCCAAGCACCATTGATCAAGGCCCTATCCAGTCTCTGTAACATTCTAGCATGGCCTTGTCGATTATCACACCAAGTATATCTATTTCCACTAAAACCTCCATCCATAAGACCCCTGCCATCCAAAAAATCTCCAAACTCCTCCATAGCAATAAGAGGAGGACTGGCACCCCCTCTCCTTTCTTCTGAATTTAAAATAGAATTATAATCCCCCACAACCAACCAAGGGATATGAGTTGGATTATCAATATCCAAC